CTGGTCAGAACACATACCCAGGAACAAGCATGCACTAGTGAGAGAAGGGGGGGAGAGAGAGAGAGGCTGTTTTACATACTTTTAGGAGTCAGATCCTCAGCTGGTGTAAATTGGTACTGAAATCAATGGAGCTACATCAGATTACACCAGCTGAGGGATCTGTCCCTAGGTCTTTTCCAGCTCTTCTGTCTAGGATTCTGTGATGTAGCATTGCAGTGCTTTGAACCTGTTTTGCACACAATTGTATATCCTTGTGCTGTCACCTGTGATCAAACCTCATTGTTGACCAGTAGGTTCTGATTTTTCACTGTCCTCAAATTCAGTGAGACACTGCCACAGCTGTTAAGCAAAAACACATCCCAGCAACAGCCAGTGCACATGTGCTCAGAACACTTCCCCTCCCAGATGCTCCCTGTTCAGATCCAAGCAAGAGCGAGGCAGATAACTGAATCTTGCTTGCTAACTCTCTTCACGGAGCAGGTTTGTCGTTTATTCATGTGAATTCAGTGCTGGTGAAAGGTGCCTGGGACTGCCCTGGTGACTGAAGCCTTGATTCCCTTGTCCAGCAGAGCTGTGTTTGGTGCAGGGCCCGAGTGGGTGACAAAGGTGGCTTTATGTCACTATTGTGGCTCCCTGATTCCAGACCGAACCAGGGGGCAAGTCAGTCCCAGTATAAGTTAGAGCAGTCATGAGGCCAGGCTGTCAATAAAGTCCCCATGGCTCTGCCTATGACCCTGATACTCAGCAAAGTGAAGGGGGATAGTGTTGAGCCACCACACGAGTTCCATGCCACCTGAGGATTCCCCTATGCCAGGAGTATGACCTGGGGTGAGATCTGCTGCTTTTCAGCCCCTTTGTCCCACTAGAGCAGGGGTGAGAAAACTACGGCCCACAGGCTGGATCCGGCCTGCCAGCCATTTTAAGCTAGCCCTCGAGCTCCTGCTGGGGAGCAGGGTCTGGGGCTTGCCCAGCTCTGGCGCTCTAGCTGGGGTGCAGGGTCGGGGGGGCCGCTCCACGTGGCTCCTGGAAGCCGAGGTGTGGCCTCCCTCTGGCTCCTACATGCTCCAATGGCCCCTTCTGGTGCTCCAATGGGAGCTGCAGGGGCGGTGCCTGCGGACGGTGCAGCGTGCAGATCCGCCTGGCCGTGCCTCCGTATAGGAGCCGGAGAAGGGACATGCCGCTGCTTCTGGGAGCCACTTGAGGTAAGCACCACCTGGAGCCTGCACCCCTGAGCCTCTCTCCGTGCCCCAACCTCCTGCCCCAGCCCTGATCCCCCTCCCGCTGTCTGAACCCCTTGGTCCCAGCCCAGAGCACCCTCCTGTGCCCCAAACTCATCCCCAGCCCCACCCTGGAGCTCACACCCCCAACCAGAGCCCTCACCCCCTCCTGCACCCCAACCCCAATTTTGTGAGCATTCTTGGCCCGCCATACAATTTATATTCACCGATGTGGCCCTTGTGCCAAAAAGTTTGCCCACCCCTGCACTAGAGCAATGCAAAGGGGCCATAGTGTGGCAGGACATTGTGCTCTGAAGCCTTCTGTTTATCCACTGAGCAAGAACAGCACAAGGTGGCATTAGTGTGAGCTTCCATGCACTGCTCTGAGCCTGCCAGTACCCCACATTCAGAGCCTGGTATTGCATTTCTTGACCATCCAAAACTGTCAATTAAGTCCATAGGTGTTTTAAGTGACCCCCCCAGGCTTCAGGACCAGGTCCTTAATTGCTAAGGTACATAGAGAGGTGTTATGACCTAGCGGACTGACCATGGGGATTGACACAAATTCTAAACAGGCTCTGATACTGTGTAGCCTGAACTAGTCATGTGAACCATTCTGTGCCTCAGGTCCCCCATCTCTCTAAAACTGAGTTAATGTTTACCCACCTCTCTGGGGAGTTGATTAAGTTAATGGTGGCACAGCACTATATACGTTTTCACTGTACATAATTCCAATACAGAACAAAATTCCAGACGTAGTTCTTATGTTGTTTGAACTGGTTCACCCACCTCTAGCTTTTTGTGTGTGTGTGTGTGTGTGTGTGCACGCACTCATAGTTCACCCACCCATCCTGCGTATGCCTGTAAGAAAATCTGTAGACGGCTTTGTTTCAGAAGGCTCAGATGAGCCCTTGCAGCGTCTGCGCCGCTAGCAGATAAAGACAATCTTGTGGTTAAAACTCACCCCTAGGTGTTAGCACTCCTGGGTTCTGTTTCCCTTTCCCACTGTGTGACCATGGGCAAATCACATCTTTTTCTCTGTGCTGCCATTTCTCCATCATAAAACCCCCAGCTAGCTGGCACTAGAGATGAGTGGTGGGGGAGAGACCCAACCAATGTAAAATTGTTATAGCTGCAAGAAAGTTTAGTAAAACCATTAAGATCACTTGACCTGTTTGGGCTCCCCAACCCTGCGTGCATCCCATTTAAATCAACAGCCTATTTCACTCCGTTGATGGTTGTAGTTGTACTAATTAATGCAAGGGAGGCCTTGCAAAGCTGTTGGATTTCGTTGCCTAAGAGCAGGAGAAAGCAAACATGTATATGCTTCTGTTGGCTGGAAGTCTGCAGCCCCAGGGACAAGGGCGGGGTTACTGGGCCAAGGTGCTGCCCAATAGATTTTTTTGGGGAACTATTACAGTAGGAACTCATTGTGACACCTGGGTTGGGGGTCCGAGCAGCGTAAGTGCAATAAAAGCACTTAATTGACACACGAGGCAGGGGGTTTGCACACATTTTAAAGGCTATCCTTAGGGACGTAGGGTTAGGGAAGGTATTTAAATGAGCTAGGTTAAGGGGTCTTGGCTGTTTGCCAAGGTTGGTAGTAAATGCATGTCTGCCATCTGATGGCACTGAATAGCTTAGCAAAATTGAGTTGGTCTCAGTCCAATTCCTATGACTATCCACGTGCCAAGAGGCATCCTCACTGATGTTCGGCAAGGAGCCCTAGTCCAGTGCAAGAAGTGAATGGGCTACATGTGACCAAACTCCCCTTTACAGGATGGTCACTGCATTTCAGTGCTGAGGCACATCAGTGGGGGCAGGGGAGGGAGAGGAGAGGGTTTGCTCTGCCACTGCCCTTTCTGCGCTTCTTGCACTGCTGAACCAAGCACTTTAGCTTGCAGTGGTGTCAATTCACTACTTTTCACCAGCACTACACTAATATGAATGGTTTTAAAGAAACGTAACCAACACTATACACACAGAGGGACAGTCCTGAAGTCAACCATTATGACAAGTGAGTCCTGGAATCTTCTATCCATGTGCTCACTATTTATGGTCCTGATTCTCCACTCTGTTGTGTCTTGTGTAGTCAGTTACTGTTGAGCAAAGCAGACCAGATCCTCCAGTGCATTACGGCAGCTTTGCGTCACAAACCACAAAAGTGCAAAGTTGGCTTTATAGCCCCAGCGATCCCCTAGGCTCAGACAAGATGCGTGGGTGTCAGGGATGCTTCAGCAACAGTTCACTCAGGTCCCCTTACTACAGGAGAATGGGCTGGATGACCCAAAAGCAGGTCCGTTCCAACTTAAATCATTCCACTTCCATCTACTTTGTCTCCCCCCTAACGCCCCCCCTTTCCTGATCTCTTGTCTAATACATGTCTAGAATGGCACTGTTTAAAGTATTTTACGTTAACATTTCATGTTAACTGAGGGCGGGTGAAAGTTGTCTGATGGCCATGGAGTATGATGGCTTCCAGTCACAGAACTGGCACAGCTCAGGCAGATGTATCCTTACAGAGAAGTCCTGGAGGAGGGATTAGAGAATGAGAACCCTTCTATAACTTCTTATAGCATTTAATAGAAAATTAGCTCCCTGCTATAGATTTCTGTACTTAAAAAAAAAACCTATAGATATAGGTTCCTATTTGCTATTCAATTCTATAGGGTTCTACAATAATTTCCACAGAACTCTGTCATGTGTATAGAGAACCTTGGTCTCATCCCTATAAAAATCTATAGGACTTTTCCGTATGGATAATGTAACCTTCCAAACACTTAGGAGTGAGTGGAGAGTTCACTCTTCACGGCCTACTTAAGAGTAGACTGGGGAAAAAACATTAGCTAATGTATAGAAGGAAACAACCTGCAAAAGGAAACAACAACGGCTCTAGGGGTCAGGCAGGGATTTAGGATAAACTAGGTGATCTAACAGGTGTGTTGCCGCTCTACAATTGTATTTGTATGGTTGATTCACTCCTTTAGCCTTTCTGTTCTGGCTCCCTAAATCAGAAGGTTAATTAGTGCTTATCATGGTGTTGGTTTGTGTGAAGCATACAGGGCCGGCTCCAGGCACCAGCTTGTCAAGCAGGTGCTTGGGGCGGCCACTCCGGAGAGGGGCGGCACATCCAGCTATTCGGCGGCACTTCGGCGGACGGTCCCTCACTCCGGCTCGGAGCGAAGGACCTTCCGCTGCAGATCGCGATCGCAGCTTTGGTTTTGGTTTTTTTTTGGCTGCTTGGGGAGGCCAATACCCTGGAGCCGGCCCTGGAAGCATACACCTGTCCACTAGGATCTGGACAATATAAATTCATTTCACACAGTCACCCACACACGTGCCAGATAAGAACTCTCAGATTTTGGCCCATTTGGGAACAAGGACCTGGAGTCATTCAGGCCCTCTGCAACAAGCATGTGAAAAGTACACTGTAGCCAGCGGCGGCTCCAGGCACCAGCGCTCCAAGCGCGTGCCTGGGGTGGCAAGCCGCGGGGGGCGCCCTGCCGGTCCCTGTGAGGGTGGCAGTCAGGCAGCCTTCGGCGGCATGCCTGCTGGAGGTCCGTCGGTCCTGCGGATTCGGCGGCAATTCGGCGGTGGCTACGCCGAAGCCGCAGGACCGGCGGACCTCCCACAGGCACGCCGCTGAATCCGCGGGACTGGGGACCTCCCGCAGGCATGACGCCGAAGGCAGCCTGCCTGCCGTGCTTGGGGCGGCAAAAAAGCTAGAGCCACCCCTGACTGTAGCTCAGGCAACTAACCCTCACCTCTCTCTTTCCCCACTAGATGCTGTAGAAGAAACCAAACCTACTGAAAGTGCCCAGCAGGAAGAGGTGAAAGAAGACGAGAACAAGGCGGACCAAGAAAATGCCTGAACATTAAGAAATGACTCCCCACTGCCCCTCCCTCCCTCCCCCTTTCCTGTATCCTTCTTCCCGTGCCCACCCCCAATCTTGATTCCCACCTCCTGCTCGCCCCTGTGGGCCTGTCCGTCCCTCCCCCATCCCACTTAAACCCTTTTTCTCTCTGTGTGGCAAACATTTAAAGAAAAAAAAAAGCAAAAAAAAAAAAAAAAGCAGGAAAAATCCCAGTCGAACAGTGTGGCTTAAACATTTCTTTGTTTCTTGGTGTTGTTATGGCGAGTTGTTTGGTAATGATGATGATCCAATCATTTTGGGAAAATTCTTGCACTGTATCAGAGTTCTTTGATCTGGAGCGTGCGTGTGTTTGTCTGCCCGCCGCGAGCGCTCTCTCTCTCTCCCCCCTCCCGTCCCTCTCTGTTCCAAGTGTGTGTGCAATGTTCCGTTCATCTGAGGAGTCCAGATTTACCAAGTGAGTTAAAAATGAAAAAAAACAAAACATTTTTCTTTTTCTTCCTTTTTCAATGTGATGGAATGAACTAAAGAGAACAAAAAAAACAAACAAACGAAGGAAAATTAACCCCCACTCCCCGTTTGTTTTCAAAAATAAAGCAAAATGTGCCAATTAGCGTCACGCGTGGCTCCAGGCTCCTTTTTCAAACTGAACGACGATGATAATAATAAATAAGAATAATGATCATGATACCACTGTCTTTGCGTTTGTATAGCGCCGTACGTCCTGATGGAGCATGTCGGGAGATTCTTGCTGTGGACAACATGTTGGGTGGAGCATCTTCTTCTCCAGCCAACACGACACAGCAGGACAGTGATGATGCCATCAGAAACTACTGAGGGAATTTCATGGAGGAAGGCTGGCATTAGGTTGGATTTTGGCCTGGGCATCAGGGTTAATGTGCTGACTCCAGCATAAAACACACCAAAAAACCCAACCTCCTGTGGGACCCTTAGGGTTTGATCATGACAGTCACTCAACACCGCATGGTGAAGACTCTAGGGTAGCTCAGGCATCGCCACGTGCAGCCTCGAGGCTCTAAGCTGTGGCCCTCAAAGCAGGGCCGGCTCCAGGCACCAGCCCACCAAGCTGGTGCTTGGGGCGGCACCTGGAGGGGGGCGGCGCGGCGCTCCGGCCCCCGGGGAGAGCGGGGCCACGGCCGGGCTCGCCGCCCTCCCCCCGGCGCTCTGGCCACCCTCCCCCCCCGGCGCCCCCCCCCCCGGAGGCTTTTTTGCCTTGGGCGGCAAAAAAGCCAGAGCCGGCCCTGCCTCAAAGGTGACTGCATTAGGAAGAAAATCTGTGTTTGATTAGGAATTGACAATGTGCTCCCTCAGCAGGCCCTGTACCATTAAAAGGAGATGTTGCCTCACAGCTCCTCGTCCCCAAAGGAGCAGCTCTGAGGATGAGCCAGCAGCGCTCGTTGGCTGCTCTCCTTTCCTGGTGCAGCAGCTCCCCTTCTTCATTGTAGAGGGGGGGAGAGTAGTTCTAGCTGCTCCATGGCCTGATTTGCTGCTGGGCCCCAGGGAGAGCAGTATCAGAGCTCACATAGCTCTGCCTGAGCCCAGGGCAGTAGTTCCAGTATTTATTAGGGCCTGTAGACGTCCGGGGTGGGGCTTGTCCCTCGCAGGGGCTGCTGGGAGCCAGGCCGCCTCACTCCATGAGGCTGGGGAACAGATCAGTCTTGCAGATCCCAGCCCTAAGCCGGGGCGGGGTCACGAGCAATCAGTAGTCCCGGGCTCAGGCCCTCAGGCAGGGGCTGAGCAAATAAACAGTTCAGGGGTTCAAGCTAGGGGAGGAGGAGAGACTGCCACCCGGCGTGGGGTGGCAGGGGGGAACACAGGCCCACCCACTCCACTGTGTTCCAACCCGGGGCCCTGTCAGCAGCAGTTTGTCTGCTGCTGGGTCAGTGGGGATCCTGACCGCAACACACTGACATGGGTTCGGGGTCTGCTATCCCCAGGCCACTTCCCATCTCCTCCTCCATGGGTACCTGCACGTCCTTAGCCTCGTCCGCCGTGTCCCAGATCATGGGCTCCTCAGGGCAGCGAGCGCTGGGTAGATTGGGCGGCTCCTCCGGACCCTCGGTGAGGGGAAGTTCAGTCCGCTCCTCAGGATACCGGGCTCGGGGCAGGCGCGGCCAGTCCTCCTCAGGATACCGGGCTCGGGGCAGGCTCGGCCCAGCTGGAGCTCGGGCACCAGCGTCTGTCCTCTCCCGCGGTCGGGCCGCAACTGAGCGCTGGGGCCGGGCCTTTATACTTCCTGTCCCGCCCCTTGACTTCCGGGGGGCGGTGACAGGCGGCGGTGACTCCGCCCACTCCGGCAGCTGTTCTGGCTCGTCCCTCGCAGGGACTGCTGGGAACCAGGCCGCCTCACTACAGGGCCTCTTGACTTTTCAGAAATAATATGTTTGGGGGACTAGGTTGGACACCACTCAGAGAGACAGGCTGTTTGTGACCATGTGGCCAGGGCTAGAATTGGTGCAATAGCAGCCATCCAATAGTACTGAGAAAGGGAACGGCATCCTATTTTTCAAATAAAGGGCTGTACTTCTTTAGCCCCAGCTCTAATCAGGGCCTAGATTTATAGTCTCATCTCCAGCAGCACAGTGCATCCTAGCAGCCAGCTAGGGCAGTGGGTCTCAAACTTTTTTACTGGCGACCCCTTTCACATTGCAAGCCTCTGAGTGCGACCCCCCCCCCAATAAATTAAACACACTTTTTAATATATTTAACACCATTATAAATGCTGGATGCCAAGTGGGGTTTGGGGTGGAGGCTAACAGCTCGCAACTTCCCATGTAATGACCTCACGACCCCCTGAGGGGTCCCGACCCCCAGTTTGAGAACCCCTGAGCTAGGGGATTGATTTGGCACAGACCCAGAAGCAAGAGGCACCACCTCCTGAGTCACTAGTGCTACTTCCTGCCCTGGGTTTTCCTTGGAGATCACCAGCCGCGTACTCCCTAGGGCCAGCCTTTCTTAATGGATGCGATCTGACAGGCTCCTCACCCCAAGCACTGTGGCTGTCAGTATCTGCTGTTCTCTTTATTAGCTGTAAGCGAGAACAATTTAAATGTGTTACTGAAACATTTTTTTACAGCCTCTTCTGTAAAAGCTCTCTTAAGACTGTAATAACTCCTCAGAGTGGTGCGCTTTCACTGTCCTGATTATTGTCTCCTGCTCCCCCATCAGCTCTTACTGTGGCTTCTTGGCAACACTAGATAACCATGGTGCCCCATGCTCTTATTGTGCAATATTGCCCTTGACAGGAGATAGAATAACCAGCCTCACAGCTGTAAGACCAAAAGAAAGGCTCCATCTGGCTGTGGATATTCTGCTACCCACAATGCATTTGCCACTGGCTGTCTCATGCAGTGACAGAAGCAACGGCTTCAGAAGAATGGCTCACCGCTCCTCTTCTGTTTGCCAGAAGCTGGGAATGGGTGACAGGGGATGGATCAGTTGATATTACCTGTTCTGTTCTTTTCCTCTGGGGAACCTGGCACTGGCCACTGTCAGAAGACAGGATACTGGGCTAGATGGACCTTTGGTCTGACCCAGTGTGGCCATTCTTATGTTCCTCCACTCTCCTCCTCCTCAAAGAGAAAAGTAAAAAATGCATGGTATCACCTCAGAGATCTTAATCTGAAAGTAAACTGGATTGCTGGGAATGCCACCAAAAAGCAGCTGGTTTCATTTAATGTTCCACTGGTATATAGATCCTGGCATTGCCATTTACAGTGCTTAGAAATACTTGAGAGAAAGGAAGAGGAGGTGACTACAGAGAGATAGCAACGGAGCTCTTCTGCTCTGTGCAGCTCAAACGCTTGTCTCTCAAGAGAAGCTGGTCCTATAAAAGATATTACCTCACCCACCTTGTCTCTCTAAAACAGATTTGTGTCATACTTCATAAACAGCATATAACCTAACTCTCTCTCTCCCATGTCATGATGGGCCATAAACCCTGGAAACCCTTCCGCTTGAGTACCCAGCAAATTTGGCACATCTGGATTAGTTAATGTCAGATGTCACCCGCTTCCACATCTCTGTTGTGGAAGTTGATGGGTCTGGGGGTATGAGGAGAATTGCTATCACAGGGAGACTGAGAGCAGCCCCTTCTGGAAAGGCATAGTGCATTTGTGGCTCCTGGTGCACAAAATGTCTGATCTTCCTCAGACACTGCCATCTGAAGCAAAACCTTTCTTGGGCACAAATTCAGCAGAGTTGGAATTCAACTCTTGGTATTTGGGAGAAGGAGGGGTTCATGGGGCGACATCTTTTATTTAGCCTCATCTTTCATCATGGTACTAGGGTTTCTTTCTAGATTTGACTATAATAGAAAGGGTCAAAGAATGACATTAGGGTTTTCCAGCCCCTCTGCCTTTGGATCCCAACATTTTAATCTGTCCTTTCACTGCTTGATGAAGATGAACAGTCTGCTCCTCACTCCTTCCGGGTTGAAGACCTTCCTCTCCCCTCAACCTATGGAAACATTTTTCTCTCTCCCTAGGCATTCCTTGTCTTTGAAATAGGGGGTCTTTTTCTGCTGTCAGGGGAGGTATCAACTGCATCTTAACATTTCTCAGAGCGCTTTGAGGATAAAACAGGGTTTTTTATAAGAGGAGTGGCATAGAATGATAGAATATCAGGTTTGGAAGGGACCTCAGGAAGTCATCTAGTCCAATCCCCTGCTCAAAGCAGGACCAATCCCCAACTAAATCATCCCAGCCAGGGCTTTGTCAAGCCTGACCTTAAAAACCTCTAAGGCAGGAGATTCCACCACCTCCCTAGGTAATCCATTCCAGTGCTTCACCACTCTCCTAGTGAAAAAGTTTTTCCTAATATCCAACCTAAACCTCCCCTACTGCAACTTGAGACCATTACTACTTGTTCTGTCATCTGGTACCACTGAGAACAGTCTAGATCCATCCTCTTTGGAACCACCTTTCAGGTATTGAAAGCAGCTATCAAATCCCCCCTCATTCTTCTCTTCTGCAAACTAAACAATCCCAGTTCCCTCCGCCTCTCCTCATAAGTCATGTGCTCCAGCCCCCTAATCATTTTTGTTGCCCTCTGCTGGACTCTCCAATTTTTTCACATCCTTCTTGTAGTGTGGGGCCCAAAACTGGACACGGTACTCCAGATGAGGCCTCAACAATGTCAAATAGAGGGGAATGATCACGTCCCTCCATCTGCTGGCAGTGCCCCTACTTATACAGTCCCAAATGCCGTTAGATCTTCTTGGCAACAAGGGCATACTGTTGGCTCATATCCAGCTTCTTGTCCACTGTAACCCTAGGTCCTTTTCTGCAGAACTGCTGCCTAGCCATTTGGTCCCTAGTCTGTAGCAGTGCATGGGATTCTTCCGTCCTAAGTGCAGGACTCTGCACTTGTCCTTGTTGAACCTCATCAGATTTCTTTTGGCCCCATCCTCTAATTTGTCTAGGTGCCTCTGTATCCTATCCCTACCCTCCAGCATATCTACCACTCCTCCCAGTTTAGTGTCATCTGCAAACTTGCTGAGGGTGCAGTCCACAC